TGTAGCATAAAGCGGCTAGGAGTATTTCTACTCTCCCCAGGATGGGATGCTAGTCCATCGCAGGGTTACCCCCAGCATTAAGTTCGTCGGTCCACATTTACACACCTGTGTAAAGAGAGGCACTGCGAGGGCTTGAACCCAGACCGCTCGGTCCGAAGGCGAGCGCTCTAACCATAAGTTCACTGCACCTCCAAAATTACACATGTTAGTAAATAAATATTCCTTTTTTTATTGAAAATTCTATAGTAATAGTAATAATAACAATCCGTTGGAAGATAACACAGCACAGCTACATGTGTAATATGATTTCGTTTTTTCTTTTCCTTTTCAAAACAATGTGATCGAAAAGAAACGAAAAATATCTACATTTTACTATGAAACTTCCAAAGATTGCCAAGCTGTGAAGAGATCCCACCAACAGCTACTTGTTTGAAGAACTTTCCCTTCAAAGCCAGCTGAGAATAATGTAGACATCAAAGTAGCCTGGGTTTTTGGAACAGACAGCATGGGTGTAATATTGTCTTTGATTAAGCTGGGCAAAGGGTTGTCAATTAAGATCTGTGGGCAAAAGTTCGTTCTCTTTGTTAATTCCCTCAATCTAAGTCTAGGAAATCTAACAGTTCTTCTTCAGAGTTGGCAAACAAGCTTCCACCTCGTTCTCCTTCCGGCTCCAAGTCACAGCCTTTTATTTAGCTCTTAGGAAAATTACAGTGGAACCTCATCAATCTTGGTTATATAAATGGGTTGAGGTAAAATATTGATAATGCTTCACCAGGCGTTTCATTAACGTGTTCGGCAGGGTGGCAACTGGTTTTCACAGGCGAGCAAAACTATTTGAGCTGAACTTCTTTTTGAGAAAAACTTTCTGCTAGATGGTCAAACTAGGCAGGCAAAATCATCCTCGCAGCCAGTCAATTCGCCTGGTACATGGCCTTTAATGAAACCCTTGGCTTAACATTTAGTATTTTTATGCAGCAGACAAATGGTTGCTGTAACCACTGAGGTTGTCATAACGACGGTTTCACTGTATTGAACACAGTATTTCATGAGTTGTAGATTGTTCCTACATTTTGCACAGGAGCACTAGCTAACAGTCCTTCCTCATGAGAGATTTCCTTCCAAAGCCAAAATGCTTGCTTCAGTTTTCAGCAGAGTCAATAGTATCAATGAATTTATAATAATACTGTTATCATGGAAGCACAATGTAAGAATAACTGAAAAATCATTTTGACTGAATTGGTTGAGGAATATAGCATCTCTTGCACAGAAATCGCAGATGATGAGCTGAACAACAGTGCCTGTAAGGAGCTTCACAGGTCCATTTAATACTGGTGTAAACCTCAGGTCCCCTGGCACAGTGCCTCGTGTTCGATACCGATTCCTTCCCATGGTAACAAACCAGCGGATGTTTTGTCTTTCGCATTACTGAGTGGTTTACACCATGGAGTTGCTTCCATCTCCTGCTAATCTACCCACTATCTGAAAATCAAAGGTAAAGGTATAAAATAAACACATAGGGAGTAATTTTGCTCGCTCTGGAACCTCCCTTCCCAGTAGACTGCAAAGTGCAAGTGCTATCATTCTTCCTTGTAAAATTACATGTACCCTGTTGGAGGGAATGTTAGCAAGGCAGAACTCAACTCCGTGTTACTTCAAAAGTAAAGTTGAATCTCAACAACTTCTACCCTGGATATTTTAACGTTTTGTCGTCTTTGACTAAAAGATGTTTTCTCTGGATTATAGTAGTAATGAATTGCCAATAAAAGTTCTGTCAAGCCCCCCTGCCTTTAATTCTCACCTAGAACTTCACATGCACGGAACAGGATCACGTCTTCCCCTTTACACCCTACTGGATTTGCTTTGCGCCACTGTTTAAGTCATGTAATTCCACATTATCTTTTCACTTACTTTCTTGGTGGATTTGACGGGGGGTGGGGTGGGTGGGGCAACTTCTTTATATGGTTGAAATGGGGATATGCCACCAAACATGGTGAGGTTTTCAGGGTTTTCTGTCTCCAGCATGGTACCAGCTAACTGCTAGTAGTTTTGAATAGAGTGTCTTTTTAAACTTTGCTCATGAAACAAGGTTGATGTCTTAATGGATAAACTTAATACTTACTTCACCACTTCTATTAAACAAAGGAAATCATAAACTTGACAGTGTTCAGATATCTGATCTTAATTAATAATTACATTTTATGAATTTAATGACATTCATGATAGTTGAATTCATTAAAACAAAGTTCAGTCCACAATGACAAATACAACTACCATGATTCCCCACAGGTGCATCTTATAGATGGAATTGAGGATTCTCCATTTGTCTCCTTAATTTTAGCTTAGATTGAGAAGACATACAAGAGAGTATCAAACACTCGACAATGTGTTGAACCACATTTCCACACACCTTGGAGTTCGTCAAAAATGCCCCTCTGCATGTATTTTCACTGTTCTTCTCAGTGTTTGCAAATGTGGTAAAACAGTCATGGTTGGCATGTATGCTTGATACATGTACACTACCCATGCAGAAATTGTTACACTAATCCAGCATTGCATCCTACAAACCTGGCTAATTCCTGGAAAGTTCAGTATATTTCCAATGATTGGTACTCTTCTTAAAAAGTTAATTACAACTGGAAAGAATCCACTGAAAAATAAAATAAAACTTCATTAAAATATAAATGCATTGATAACTTAATGGACATAAGCCTGTGCACAATACATCAATGCATACCACAGCTACACAGTCACTAAACTTCAATCAAGTTATAGAGACAATTTATACATAGACTATTCAGTGGGGATTCAATCAGGTGCAGAGGGTGCTAATTTACTTTTGGTAGCTCAAGGGAAGGTGCTTATATTGGAGAGGGGTGCTTATAAGGGAAGAGGCTCTAATTAATTTTTTTAACAGTACATCTGTTTGTGCTATTGATCTTGTTGCAAATAGCACCATATAAGAAATAAATTATTATTATTATTATCTTGATGCAATACAATACAACTACAAATACTTTAACTAAAGAACTGTAAAAATAGGAACTCTGATAGTCATAATGTTCAATATTACATTCCAATGAGAAAGCAGACTTTATAATTTATTTGTCTGATCAGACTATTCTATTTCAATGGGCATCTTGAATGTCACTTTCGCTGTGGGGGCGCTTATTAGAATAAGGGTACTTATTTAGAAAAACGGTGCTCAAGAAGGTGGGGGAAGGGCACTAATTAGAATCATTATGGTATTTCAAAACTGGCTTGTCAGTTCATCTGTCTAACCTGTTTTTTTTTGGAACAACTCACCTAAATAGAAGCACAAATCCATAAATTTCTATGATCATTCCTATAAGAGGCCAACCAAAAAGAACAACTAATACTCCACCAAGAAAACATGAACTTCCTTTTAGCTTGTGTTTTTGAAAGAAAAATCTAAAAGTTCTTTCTAATCCAATCACCAGTGCTAACCCAGCGATAAACAATATCTGCAAAAAGAAAAAATGAAAATTATATTATACTGTACTATTACAACTGAACATTACATGTACCGGTACCAGTATGCCAAAATTGACAAAAAGTGGACAAAAAGGAGATTGCAGTAACGAGAAAGCCTGCTATTACACTGTAATTACAGGGTTAGAAATAACAGGTCATCAGACGATGTCTGGTCTTATCAGGGATTTGACCTGTCAAGCTTCTGTCTTAATGGTCAAGTTGACTGGCCACATTTATTCATATCAAAATCAACTTAAATTTCTGCGATGTTGTTCCACCAGTATGCCCACTCAACTTGACCAGCAACCATGCAGCCATTATTTTAAGTTCTAGGCCTCCAGATATTATGTGGAGATACAATAGCTCACAATCACATTCAATTGCATCCGATCACACAATTCGAGAAAAATTGCATAAAAAATCAGACAATTTTCACAAACTAAACCATACATTAAGTAACACTTTATCTTGAAAAATTCCCCATCAACATGTTATTTCAACATGATATACCTTAGAAAAAGCCCTGGAAACCTTCTTAACCGTCAATTTTGCAAACAATCAAAGTTCAAGGCATTAACTTCTTTATTTTGCACATCCAGTGTCTGAAACTGATTTCACTATCAAAGATTTGGCCATTGGTGCAAATTATGCAAACGACCCTTTTATTTGAGATTGCCAGCCAGAATTGTTGGTATCTTTCCTTAAATCCATCAAATATTTTTGCCAGTGCATGATAAATTTGTTTAAATATGTCACATGACTAAATATTCCCCAGCTATAACTGGGGAATACCTGAGTGATATTTCCCAATTTTCAAAACTGTGCATGTTGCAAAAAATATATGAAGGATAATAAACACAATAGCCCCCCATTTGGTGCAAAAATATGCTTGGATATATCAAAGCTCACAATTTTCCTCGAGAGACAACACCCGTGGACAAATATCCAAGCATATTTTCGCGTGAAAAGAAGTTTATTGTTTATATACCGATTACACATGATCTTTCTACATCTTTTTATAGCCTGAACTGGAGTCAACCGAAGCTGAATTCAGCCAAAGCTGTCAGAATGTCAGTAACCTGGGCAATCATAGTCCTGAAATGCAGGTAATTGCCAAAAAAAAAAAGAAAGAAACTACAAGAAACCCTTGTACAGAAAAAAAATTCTTAGCAAATAATCTGTAGGAAAAGAGGCCCCACAAATATTATAAATATAATCAATTCTAAATAACTTTGTTGGTTTGTGTTTTGCATTAGTCAGCCACACATTTGAAAATGCTAAGTGTGTTAAAAAACAAATTGTGTTATGCTGAGTGGGGTTAGATAACAGAAATTGTCACTGCCATATTAACTGGTGCTGAAATCTCCTTCTGAAATAAATAAACCTGCGCAAGAGTGTGATATCTTGGAATTTACTGCTATGAAGGACTTTGCCTGCTGTGTTTTTTTTAGAGTTTTACCACCCTCACATGTACCCTTGTACATTTACTACTTTTTTTGCATTGAATACAACAAGTACAAACAAAAGAGGTTGCAGCGTAAACATAAGTTTTCATACTATGAATAAACTTATACAGCTGTGGTCCAATCAATGGTTGATTAAGTTATTTGATTTTCATAGATGAGTATTTTAATAAATTCTTGCACTGGCCAGATAAAGTCATATTTTTATGGAAACGCTAGTAATAAACTTAGGAAAAAACTTACATTTCCAATAGCTAATAGTCCTTTATCGAAAAAGAATAGCACACCCATGAAGAGAAAAAATACTCCAAAGCCAGAGACACCAATGCCGATTTCTGTACATTAAAAAACACATCAAAGCATTAGAAAAACAACCAAATCGACAGGTAAAGATGGAAAGCAAGGCTCTTACTTTGGTAATCTGTTATCGGCAACATTTTTTCACGATTTTTTGTCAGAAAATTTTCACTTAGTCATATGAATCACTCCTTGCTAAATTGCTTTTGCCGGGAAAGCCACGTCAAATTTTAAACAGCGCATGCGTAAAGAGCACCGCTGGCCAAAAACGCGCGGAAGATAAAGAAAAGAACGTCAGTAGTATGTTGCAGTCAGCGTTAATTTCATAAAAATATAAATAGGATATTGGCACGCGATATCACGTTTAGTTTTCTCTTTTTGACGGCACGCAGTCTAGTTGGCGGTGGCGGGAAGCCTCATTTGTTCAAGAAACGAAATAAGCTGTAAACTACTTTGATCTCGACTTATATCGATCTGGGGAGGCGTACAGAATGTGGCGATGCTTGAAGAACCTTTACCGCGCGAAGAATTGTCGATAGTGTACATTTCTCACATACCGGCATTTATTTTGCCAAGTCCATTCAAGCACTTGGGTTTTTACGTGGGAGGTGAACTGTGGCTTTGTGTTTATTTTCGACGAAATTTTTCTGTCGGTACTTTACTCTAGAATTTGAGCATAAGTTTCACTCATCTTCTTCTAAATTGATCATAGGCAGAACGGAGAAGACTCAAGTGAGTTTTTCGCCAGACATCAACCACAGTCTGCGCAGGAAGTTGCGACGATGCGAAGAAGAAAAGGATGCAACGTGCTCAGCGCCTTGATCAGGCGAGAAACGAATTGTCGAAGAACAAACGATCACGATTTGTTGCTCTCCTACGTAGAAGATGTTTCTGTGATGTCCTGTAATCGAACGGAGGTAGGTTTTTTTCTCTTGTCATGTCATTTCACCGGTCGCTGTGTATATTAGCATATGGTGTTACTGTTGTTGTTTAGTTGTCGATCTTCTTCTCAAGTTTTTGTTGAAGATTGTGTGACGTTCTCGAACTAAAATTAATCGCTTTAGGCGAAATCGTAATATCAGTTTATTTCGATGGCGTGTTTCTTCGATAGCACATCGTAGTTTTGTTGGTAATTATTTCTTGCCTTTTTGACAATTATTTCTGGTTTCATGACGACATTCACGTTGAAGATCAAAACCGCAAACGCGGCGGCCGCGCTTTGTGTATTTTTGCTTCCCCCGTGGAAATGACGTTTGAAGTAAGCATATGTTTCCCAGTGATAAGCTTTCCACTCGATGACATTTCTGCCTTTTATTGTAATGTGAAATTTTGGACAAATATTGTTTTTCTAACTCAATACCTGTGTCCCACGAACGCCAAGTTCGCGCATAAAATATCCCTTCCCCAAGTTCGGGGTCTTGTTTTGTTTATATTTTATATTCTCTGGCTAAAAGTCGCCTATTTCAGAGCCTTGACCCACGCTGCGTTTGCCACGATTACAACTAATCACACAACTAAATGAGACTGGAAGCAGAGTGTCAGTGGAAGCAGGAAGAAAAAAAAAAAATTAGATATTCAATCAGGCCACCAGAGTTTCTCACCTTCTTTGGTGACCTTGACTAACGTTAAGGCGACAGGTAGACAATAGTGCTGGGTCATTGTTATGTCGCGTGAATGGAATACGCTCTTATAGTAGACAGGCAGTTAACATATTTGTCAGTTCTGAAGTTGGTTGGCGTAATGGTCTGATATAATCCTCGACAATACAAGTAGTTTGAGCTTGACCTTGACTTGGAGGGTACCCAACAAACCACTTCCGGTTATTGAACAACTTTGTTTTTGAATGTGCACAAAAGAATTTGAATCAGTAAAATCAACACTGAACTATTAATGGTGTTCCATTAAACCATGTTTGGGTCTAGTATTAAACATTTGCAAGATGTATGTATGCAGGTGTATATGGTTCATTGAAAAAAAAATATATATATATATATATATATATATATCGTGATGATAAAAGATGCACTTTGAAAATGACAGTACTTAACATTAGTCATATTAGGTTTAACATACACTGTACATGTACATCTGAAATCTTTCATTATTATACCGTGAAATTGAGTCTTAACAAGGACACTGTCAAAACTGTTTCTAGTTCCGGTACGTTTTAATGGGAAAATACAAAACAAAAACGTGTAAACTAAACTTTTTTCCGTAGTTGTTTTAAAATGCAATCAGCTCTCTGACCTAACAAAGGAATCCGAAAGTCAAAATTCTCAGTTTTATGATAATTTTCAATTTTTGTGAATTAGTTTTCAATTATCTTTTAGTTTCCCTCATTATTTATTTTTTCTGGATAAATTATCTGTGACATTGGCAATGGCATTGGCCTTGAACTTGTTGATGACTGTTATTGATGCTTTTCCGAGATATTTGCCCATTTGTATTCAAACAACTCATAATTCACTGACAAGGCTTTCAATATCATTCTTTTGACTACTCATAACCAAAGTATCTAGTTTTGCTTATTTAATCAGTTCCTCTTTCAAGACAGTATTGACTTGAGTCTGGACATTTGCTGGGTTGCCTTGTTTTCATTGTCTAGAAGGATCTTGTTTTAGTTGTGAAATATTTCAGAAAAGTAGACACCAAAAATTGATGTTGAAAAGAATTACTTGTAAAAGGCTCTTAGCCTAATAATACCTGTATGACTCTTTGCCTGATGTACATTGTACATTTGTAAATAATTATTCATACTTTAAATTTCAATTGACCAAAGTAAAATGTTTTCCACACATCTTACACCTCATTTACAATCATGTAAAATAGCGATTGTGATACTTCCAGTTACTTTCTAATCAGTAATCTTGGACTCATGCACCAAAAAGGCACAACCCTGTTTTTTCTTTTTTTTTTTTGCATTTAATTACAATGTACATTTGTATTTGGGCTGATTTTGGAGGAAAAGAGAGATTTACATAGAACTGCACCTTCATGCCAAATTGGCAATCGCCTTGATTTGGAATTTTACCAGTTAGCACAATCATCTGATTTGAGGTGTGCCTTTTCTAAGTTATTGTAAATTATGTTACTCATAGACTCATCTAAACCAGCCCTGAGGGAGCATCGTCACTGTTCACATTTCGTGTCTGGGAATGTTTTTGATGATCAGCAGATAAATTAGGGAAAAGTCTTTCAAAGAGTACCTACATGTACAGCAGCTAAGAATAAACCCACAAAATCCTGGCCTCAAATCAAAGAAAAATTTTTGACCTTCTTAATTATACAGGTGTTTCATTGATGCTTTCAGCAGGGTTGCAACTGGTTTTCACAGGCAGGCAAAACTATTTGAACTGAACTTCTTTATAAGAAAAACTTTCCTCTAGATGGTCAAACCAGGTGGGCAAAATCATCCTCACAGCCGATCAATTTGTCCAGTGCCTGAGCATCTGGCCTGTAATGAAGCCCCTGATTATGAACTTCCACTTTTCTGACATTTCCTTGAGACCTTTCCATTTGGCGACAATTTCTTGGGAAAAAAGCTTGATAGGAATATGTGGTGCCAACTGGCAATATTTTGGGACACTCCTCAAACACACTGGATTAAAGAGACAATTGACCCTTTTTTTTCATCAATTATGTTTTTCTCTTCGAGTTTCAAGTAGGGTTTAATTTTAAATTTCATGCATAGTTGTTCTGTTAATTATGTATATATGCTAGGTAGTTGGAAAACAGTTTTCAATTTCTATTTGATAATTGATCGTGAAACATTGTGTACTTAGAATCTATACTTAGTCTAACTAATACTATCGGTAGATTGAAAATAATATTAGTTATACACAGTGAGATCAGATGAAGTTGAATAGTATGGGTCAAATTTTACACATTCTTGATAACAAGTGTAAATTTAGTTCAGGATGTTTTTTGTGTGCTATTTTGGGAGCTAAATAAGCCAAAAATGCAAATCCTTTCTTTCAGTGAATACCTCCGACAATCGTGCTAAAACAGGCAATCGATCAGACTTATTTATTTTTAATTTTTATTAACATATGCAAAGTTGACATTTCTGTTGCTGATATGGGGTAACATGCAAAAATTAGGATTTTTTGTATTCGTTGTTACAATTAGACTACTGGGATAAAGTAGTTAAAAGCAAGAGGAAATGAATTTGCCATTCTCAAAGGATGGTAAACATTTTTAGTTAGGTTTTGGGATAACAGTTATTCTGCAAAATAACCAATTGAAAATAACTTTCTCGAGGAATGTTAAATATAATTAAAATTGCACGCATGCATGCTTTAGATCTATTATTATCTATTATTGTGTACATCAAGTGAATACGTTTTGCTTAGAGAAGTGTGCAAACATCATTGTTGTGTGGATTTAAAATGCCCATAGAAACTTGTAATGAAAAAATTTATATCGCTTAGGTTGCTTATGCTTTTTTCACAATTTCAGCTGACAATAATTATTATTCCCAGTTAAATTATTCAGACATTTAGAGTTAGCCATTCCAATCTTATTTAGCTTTGTTTCATTATTTTGTTGAAACGTGCACCCTCCAGGCAAGGGCTGTGGGAATTTTAAGGAAATGATACCATATCTAGGTGATAGCATTTTTAGCATTCAAGTTTTTAAGCAAGCTGGAATTAAGCAAATTAAATGAATAGAAAGATGTTTGTATGAATTCAATGTCCTGACTGTGTGGCTAATCTGTCTTCTTTGTTTGATTTTGCGATATTTCCTGAAATAGAATAATTATCAATACAGGAATTCAACAAATGTTTATTTATAGTAACCTGCATATTTATAGGCCCTTGAGAAAAGTGATAGAATATGCAGACATGCATACTAATGCTACTTCTCAGGGTACGAAGGCTGCATCAGACCAAGTGGTCCATACGGCATTGATATGTCTAGTTGTAGAGAGGCACTGTGAGAGTAAAGTGTCTTGCCCAAGAACACAATGCAATGACCGCGGCCTGGGCTCAAACCCAGACTGCTTGATCATAAGTACAGCACGCTAACCATTAGGCCACCATGCCTCCTGCAGTTTTCAAAGAATCAGTAAAAAATGAGGTGCCTTAAAATTATGAGATATGGATGAAATTGTTTTGAAAAATATGATGTATTTTAAAGGGGAGAAATAACTTTGTTGAGAAACTTTTAATAACCTCTGTTTTAGGAGAAAGCCAAAAATGTTGAGCAATAATTATTGTTGCATATACATGTAGATCGTTTGCAACGGATGTCATGACCACCAAGTGGGATTTTCAGATATCCTTTATGTCTGTATGCCTTGGCTCAAACAGTGTCAAATTTCGAAGACATTTACCAGAGTTGCCAACCTTCATAGTGTTTGTACTGTTTATTGCATTTAACTATTGAGTTATGTTGTATGAAATCATTTCTTTTTTTCCAGGAATGTGAACTACCAGGATCACCAAGGTCAACTTTCCTTGTCTGTTTCAGCCCTGATAAGTAAGTTAAATCATAAATCTTGTTGCTCAGTTATCATCAGTCAGAGTCAGGCTTAACTGTATCTTTAGTTTAAGTTAGTTTATTTTATTTATTGAGAAGTCCTTGAATGCTTGGGTATAGCCTGCTTACAAGCCAAGTGGCCCATCAGGCCAAATCTTCTCCCGGTTTCTGTAGCATGAAGTGACCAGGAGTATTTCTACTCCCCCCAGGATGGGGTGTAAGTTCATCGCAGGGTTACCCCCAGCATTAAGTTCGCCGGTACCCATTTATACACCTGGGTGGAGAGAGGCACTGTGAGAGTAAAGTGTCTTGCCCAAGANNTACCCATTTATACACCTGGGTGGAGAGAGGCACTGTGAGAGTAAAGTGTCTTGCCCAAGAACACAACACAATGTCCCCGGCCAGGGCTAAAACCCGGACCTCTTGATCCACAGTGGAGTGTACTAAAATGAGGTCCACACGTCTCCCCACTGAATGTTTAGGACAGCACAATGAAGATACATTGTACATGTAGCAATATTCAGAGGTATCTAAAAAAGTTTCGTCAAGTTGTTTTGTAAGAGTTTTGTATTTTCTAACAGGCCTGCTTCCAAAAAGTTTGTTATATGTGATCGTGATCAAACTAGAATTCAGAAATGGTTGTTGTTGTGAAGGGACAGAAATTGGTAACCCAGAGAATTAAACTATCGCAACAAGGAGGATAGCCAACGATGAGCTCAACACATATTTGAAGCCTGGTCTTGGATTTAAACCTGGGCCACATTAGTGTGAGGCAAGCTCTCTTAGACGCCTTGCTCATCCCTGCTCCCCAAACACAAATATCCAGAAGTACAACCTTGCCAGCTTCACTGTACTCCCACAATCACAAAACAATTTCATCAAGCCACAGATCAACATTTTTGATTGGCTGGCATATGATATACATGTGGGATAAACCATGTGAGTCCGCAAGCATAACACTATATAACCTTTATAGTGATAGGCCAAGTCTGCAGCTGAACACTGTTTAATTTTAACACGATATTCAGTAATGCATGTACTGTACTGTATTCACTTCTACACCACAAAGGTTTTCATCAGTTTCCCACAAATTCATTGTTAATGGTTTAGTTTATATATAAAGACTACGCCCCCTACAACAACCATTGATGTTTTCACAGTCTCTTGTCACTTATGTTGGGGTTTTGTACCTGGGTTTCTAATCTACAAAAGTATAACATCTAATTTTTTTGTCATTTCCAGGACCAAGATGGCCTCATCTCACGGGGATCACACAGTGCGTGTAGTTGATTGTAAGACCTTCAAATGTGTGAAGACTCTAAAAGGTCATCCTCGTACACCATGGTGCATCACATTTCATCCATCTTCTGACCAATTGCTGGCATCAGGCTGCCTTGGAGGACAAGTCAGAGTTTGGAATTTAGAGGTGAATTTTGGTAGTGTCACTCTGTACACTACATACTGTATATGCAGGGATGTAGCTAAGAAAACCCTAAGCCAGCCCATTAACAAGCCCTGCTGTCTTTTCTGGCCTTTGCACCTCTAAAGTTGCGTTAAGTTTGTATGTTTTCTTGTGAAACTTCAGCTGATTTTAGTTCTCTTTAAGCCAGTGAAATAAGCTGGCAGCTGGCTCTTAGCTGCATCTCTGTTTATGTGTGGTTACTGACCAAGCATGAGTTCAAGATGGCTGAATGTTCCTTGATGTCTTTTTTTTGTGTGTTTGCCTGTTTGTGGATCAAGCAGGGCTTTCATTAGGGGTTTTCTGCAGAACAGCAACTTTGTGAACTTAACATCTTTGTAAGGAAAACTTTCAGGTTTAGATTGTCAAACCAGCTGTGCAAAATCATCATCACAGCTGGTCAGTTTGCCCGGTGCCTGGCCCTTAATCAAACCGCTGGGATCAAGATGCGGTCAATTTCTATAATCACATGCACGAAATAGAATTAAGCCAATAATTATTCAAAAACTTGTTTTAGTGGCCTTTTTTTTAGATAACCCTGTGCATTAAATCAACTGACACTAATCACCTCAAACAATTTTTGATGTTTTTTTTTAGACAGGAGAAAGTGAAGTGTACACTCCCCCAGATAAAGCTGTCATAGCGTCACTGGCCTTCCATCCCACAGATCATGTGCTGCTGATTGCAACCAGTAACAAGTTGTTGTGTTGGAGCTGGGATCAACCAGAACCATTTGCTTGTATTCAGACTGCTTCAATTGAAGAAAAAGTCAGGTACAGTAGTTAAAAAAATGAATAAATATCTTATTTGACCACTTCCCCAATGGAGCTTTTCAGGGCCAATTGAATTAAACAGGGAGTGAGTGTGTCTGTGTACAAAATCCATGAAAAAGTCCTAATGAGACAGAAGTGATTGCTCTGAAATTACAGCAGTAGGGTTTAACTTAAACAAGTAATTATATATTTTGTGAAGAGACCTGAGCTGGTCATTTTTATGCACATTTGTCAGGCAATCTGGAAGCCAAAATGAGTGGCACAATACTTTTCCTATAATCATTACTGGCATGATATGTTTTGTTTAAATTGATAATAACGTTATATTATAGAGCAGTTTTGAAGCCAGACCAGTTGCTTACCTAGTAGACATGAGTAGACTACTCATCCAGTCTCAAACCACACTTAAACCAAAACCAACACCAAAGTAATTTTTTTGAAAACTCACAGTGTGAGTATGAGTTTTCATTTGCTTGATTATGCTATTTACTTTCTTTTGCTTATTTGTAAGTAGCATGTAAGTATTTGTAATGTTGAAGCTTGTTGTTCTTGTTGTTTTTTTTCTCTTTTCCCCCCTTCTTGCTGAAAAAATGATAAAGTAATTGCCTGTTACTTTCGACACTCAATTGAAAACCACTAATATTTGCCTGTGCACTTTAATGTTGCGGTACATATTTTAATTTTCTTTTTTATAGTGTTATAAATTGTTTTTCTTTTCAGATTGGTTGCATTTTCTCCTCTGGGTGACCACATTCTTACTGCAGTCACAAATATTGTATCACAAATGGTAAGTTCAGCTGCTCTGCTTCAAAATATTTCTACTTTAAAAATTTTCCAATTTCAAATACACCTTGCATGTTCAATTTAAGAGGCTAAAGATAATTATGATAATGATAATGATTATAATTCTCCAGAGGCCAATCATAATTATAATTATTTATAATAATATTATTTTAATTATTACATGCTTCAGTGTTGTTGTTTTTTATTATTATTAATTAAATTTACTTGAAGAATGAATTTGAGACAAAGTGGTACTTCCATACACCTGTACATACATGTACAAACAGGCTGAGTGAGGGTGGGTTTTTCTTTCGTTAGGACAGAGGAGGAGGGGTGATCTTTTTATCTTCCTAGTCTGACGTGACAAGTATAAACTTTATTTCAAACTCAGAGATTTGGTGTTTTTTCTTCTCTGTACTTAATGCTATTGGAAAATGGAAGTGTCAAGCAATTTTCTCCTCGGATATGGAGAATTCTGCAGTGTCACTTCAAGTCTGGTATGGGTTACAAAACGTAATAGGGGAATCTTTGTTTTCAATATTTCAACTTAAATATCGAGAGGGCTTGACACAATTAACTCTCCCAATGTTTTGAGTAATTTTTGTATGACGTGGGTTTTTAAAAGTCTAGATTTTTCAAAGAACACGGTATGTGAGCTCACTAGCACTTCAGTGCCAAGAGCATGTTCTTTGGATTTTTGGGTCACTTTGCATCTTGTATGATGCCTTCTCTACATACAGTCGTAGTAAGTCTGAACTCCTCAGAATTTTTATTGCAAGAACAGCATGGAAGCCCCATTAGGGGGAGGGGGGTCTGTGTATTCTATATCTCGTAATTTTTGGCCTACATGTAAACATCTTAATCCAATTAGTTCCAATTTCAAAAATTAGCAGTTTTTCTACTCAATATTCCAGCATATCCATACTAAATATCCCATATCCCAATAATGTTTTTCCCCAAATGCCCTGTATCTCGTTAATTTTTTTCCTTAAATATCCGGTATCCGGAAAACCCCTAATAGGTCCTCAGCCAGTACAACAGCATCTCTTTAGTGTTTTGTCCTTCACTTAATTGCTTTCCCTCATTACAGGATGATAACCCGAGGACATATGCTCCAAGGTAAGGAACGTGAGAATTTGAATATGCTGTTGCTTAAGTGCTGTGTCCATGAAGAAACGCTGTTACACTTATGCCTCGTATGTATATTAAATTTGTGAACTTGCACCAGTCTCGTGGGAGGAAGATCACTTGCAAATTTTTCCTGAGAGGAGTCTGGGATTAGCTTAGAGGAAAGTCAAAAAATGCTAAAGAAGATTGGGCAGAAAGGCTCACTGTTTTCCCGCTTTTTTCCCGCCATTTGCCAGTTTCCTCGAAATCTGGGAGTCTGGAATTTCGGCGCTATCCAACTGGGCATATACGTAGAACAACTCACTGAAAAGAAAAACTGAAAAGCCAAACGGAACTTGGGGGAGTTACACCAGATCAACTTGAAAATGTCGGCCTGGCTTTTTTCAAGTTTAGCTAAATTTGTATGAAAGTGCCATTTATAATGCGAGGGTAAATAAAGGTTATCTATTTATCGTATGCGCGAAAATCACCCTTGTTTGTTATGTGGCTGTGATTTTGCCAACAGAAGACTGCTGCCCTTCCACTTTGAGGTTTGGAGCTCACAATTAACAGAAATAAACAGAAATACTTGTCCTAACTCCTTTAAATTTTCCCCAGAATAACAGGGCCATGAATGACACCCTTTCTGTTTGCTCTACAGTCGTTCTCCCGTCGTGAATCGACTTCTTCAGTCAATGGGAAACTCACGTGAACCAGGCGGTGATAATTTTTCTGCCCACGTGTTGCGTCCTTCTGCCGCGTCAAATAGTCCTGCAACCTCATCCTCTACGTCTACAAATTCTGACTCAATGCCCAAATCATCTAGTACTACGGGCTTAAATTCACCTGGCTCTACGGAGAACTCAAATTTGGAGCCTGTCACACGGGAAGGGGAAGCCATTTCAAGCTCTATAACCAGTCAAACTGATGTCACTGAGGGTGACGTCACTGACAACGGTAACCAAGACTACAGAGGCGTGTTCGCCATATTTAGAGCTCGTGATAACAACATATGGAATTTCGATGTAACCAGCGAAGCTTCACCTAGTGCTGTATTAGACCAGGAACCGAACGCTGTAAATTTTGACTCTGATTCAAGTAATGAAGGAGAGGGTGTTAGTATGAGCTTAAGTACTGGTGATACAGATGTGTATTCCGATGTCGGTGAAGCGACTGCGAATTCTGATAGCATCGAACAATCCGTGCCTTTTGAGGCGGGCCCGCCTTCTGAAGAGGCCAGCGATCGCGTGGTGGGAGTCGGGCGAGTTATCAATGTCGCGCCAAGCTCATCACGGACTAGTTTTCTCTCGCATGGCTCCAACCACAGTTCGAGTTTCGCAACTCTCGGCGGTAGCCCGGGATATGGGACTGCCGTCGCCACGGCAACGGCAAGGACGTTAAGGCACGTGCATACAGCGGTGGTGGTCGCTGATGGAACTAATGGAGGGCCCCAGTTTGCTCTGAGGTCCGCTATAAATAGGGCCATAGCTGGCGCCTTTGCGGGTTGCGGAGAAGGAGCCGTAGCAAGTAATATTATCAACACTACTCATCGTTTGCAGTGGTGGGACTTTTCTCAAGTGAAATTACCAGACTTAAAGAATAGTAAGTATGAGATATTTCATTAATTGGACGATTTTGAAATATGGGTTGTTGACTAATATTTTGAGCTTCAGATTTAGAATATTGTCTGATGTCGATGTCTATACTAAACGAAAAACAAAAACAAACTAAAAGTGAACGATGTCAGTTTTTTTGTGTTATTTTTTTACGTCTGGACTGGACAAGTTTGGTCAACAAAATTGATCAAATAAATACATGTACATGGATAGGATGAAAAGGTGGATTAAAAGTGGCAAGGGCGCGGGAACATTCCAGAGGGAAATTGACCCTTCAAAATGAAAAATTCGGAACGTAAACTGAAAAATAATAAGAAAGCCACCCCC